TTGTTTGTTTGTTTGTTTTGTTTTGGTGGTGCTGAGGATCAAACCCAGGGCCTTGTTCATGTGAGGGTATTTCTATTTTTAAGCATGCTTCCTTGTAGAATGACTGCTGTTGCTATTAAAACAATTGTTATTTGTAAACAAAAGTTTCAAATGTGTGAATGAAGTTTTTAAATCAGGAAACAAATTTATAGAATTGTAAACACATTGTGGTTTTTTAAAAAATAGAACACCTTACAATTCATTCATTTCTATATCTATCTCACCATGGATCCATTTAAAAAAATCCCCCAAAGTGGTCCTGGATGAAGCATAAAGCAAAGTAGTAGATGAACAAATTCTTGACAGACCAGTAGTGTGATGGAGTTAACTTGCACCAATTTGTGAAAGCTGATTATGTCCATCTCTTCCCAATCTGCAATCAAAGAAGTCATACTGGTAAGAGAAATTAATCATTGTAATCATATTCATACTGTGCTTCTTTCTCTTCTAATTATTTGTTTAATCAGTTGTTAAACACTGACCTGCACACCACTAATCCAATCTGTTTAAAAGAACAAATGGTGGGAAGTCAGGAACCTAGATAGATTAAAGAAATAAAACAATAATGGGAAATATGAACCAGCATTTAAATTGAGACCTGAATGCCAATTTGGAGTTGGTCATATAACCTAGTGAAGTATATTTTGATTGTGGACAAAGATATGGGGAAGTCCATATTCTAATCCCATGTTGTTCTAAACCAAGAAAAATACTGATGTATGACGAACAGAATAGAGGACAGTAGGAATGGATATTCTTACCAATTAGATATTGTTAGAAGAAGAACATAAAATTTGGCAGGAGCCAAATCACACAGAGATCTGTAGAATATGGTAAAGATTTTAAGAATGAGTATGGTGTGGTAGAATTGAAGAGTTTTAAACCCAGGAGTTAAATTAACATGATTATCTTTAAAGAATAACTTAGAAACTCTGGGACAAGTGAATTGGAGTTAAGAATATAAAGATAAAGTGGCATAAATCACACCTGTTATGAAAATATTTTACTTCCTTCAATGAGAAATAAGATAATGGGAATGAGGGGATATATTGATGAAGAGATAATGAAAGAGCAAGATCATAGAGAAACAAGGATAGGATTTAGAGAACAGATGTGGTGGTAAGAACATGGTGAGGTTAATATTACATTTAGTTTCTTAAATAAATAAAAGTTGGCCATGAAATAACAATGAGGCATGGAAAGCTGTGAACAGAAGAGAAAGTATTAAATATCGGTGAGGGTAAGAACCCATAATTGGGTTTCTGGGGCAATTTTAAATACCCTTTTGAGATTGATGGTCATGAATTTAAAGATTTTGTTACTTTAGTGGTGGAACTTCCTCTGGTAAAATTCAACATTTCTGAAGGTGGATAATCCTCACAGAGAATCTGCTCAGCCAGGGAAGATATGGAAAAGATGTGGTCAATGCCAGGATGTGCACTGCCACTTGATATTGTCAGTGTCCACAGAGGGTTTCCTAGCTCTACTTCAAGGGATATTTATTATCAAATTAACAATTAGTGTAGTCCTTTGATTTCAGCTAGCTGAGGAAATTAATCAAGGAAAAATCAGGGGTAAAAAAGATCAGGAGGTAAAATAACAGAAGACTGGGTAAGAGTAGAGCAGTGATTAGACCAGACCAATTAGTAAAACAGTAAAAGG